GCGGAACCCATTTCGTAGGCTCCACCATGTACCCAGAACAGTATAGGAAAGCCACCTTGTGGAGGCTAAAAGCATCAAAATATAAACGGTAGTAATGAGCTAAAATCAGGAAGAAAAATGTTTTTTTTGCCTCTTTCTTAGGCCGAATGATGTTCAGCATAAGACAATCTTCGCTTGCATGTTCTCCAGATGCAACTGCTTCTGGCACTATTGGATGACAAATAGGACCAAATTTCCTACAATCTCGGATATCTTTCCACGGCTCAGGCGGTATAGGCCTCTAAAGAAAATATGCGATTTTTGCACAGAGCATGTCTCGAATATAGGCATGTTACCTCAAATCGTAGTTCTCCTACAGGAGCTTTGGCATATGGTATGCCGAGGAACACTTCTGCGTAATTCCCATCGTTTGTTTTGAAGTCGAATCCTAATATCCTTCCAGGAGTTAAGTTAAGAACCTGTGCTAACGATGTGGTTAGAAAACACAGGACGAGAAGTAATGGTGGTAGCATCCTAAATTATATAGTTGAATAGGATCATATAAAGAAAAGTAAGCTCTTTAGCTTTGCCTTTTGCCAGAGCACAAAGTACTCGTCAAAACGCTATGCAATGCGAATCTCTGACAGTGTAAAGAAGGTCATTAACTTTTTTCTTCTATAAGCGGGGAAAGCAGTGACAATAAATATCTCGATCTGTTGTTGAATGGTGACTGCTTTGATGAAGAGCAGAAAGTTGCAAAAATGTAAGTCATTGATGGGATTCGTGATCAACAGCTAATTTTGCATGAAGTTTTTCAAAGGTTTGGACATAGATTTACAGGGGATATTGTAGTTAAACCTCCAACTAATAGGAAAATTCCAAGGTCATTTTGCAGGGGTGCAAATAATCTCAATGAATCAGAAGCAACTGCTCGTTCATTGCAGAAAAAAGCGGTTGTTCTATTCAACAGACATCTGGAAAATGTATCATAAAACTTGATCTGAGCAAATTCAGCAGCAAAGAAGGGAAAGAGTAAAATTAACAGATTGTATTCAACCGAGAAAAGGAAGATGGAAAGCAAAACGTGAAGATTGAAGCCTAACCTTTATAATAAATGATCGGCAACTATGGTTTGTCTACAACAAAAGAGAAGACTTCAAAAGGAAAAAAAATTGACGTGCTCTCATTAGAAATGCGATAGTGATGGACGATCAACGATACGTCTTGAACAGACGATCAAAAAGTTTGTGTCAGTAAAAGGATACCAAAGTGGAGTGATTGAAATTGGTGGAACTCACACAAACTAATGACAACAAGTGTGCGTAAATTTCGTTGAATTTTGCTTAGAATGAACTAAAGATGACAGAAGGAATACAAATGTATGAAAGCAAGAGAAATGCAATAACGCTCTCGTTAACTCTAACTCTATATTCAGAATCACAGTTCGAATATTGTCAATTATTCGTGTTCGAGTAAATTACTATAGCACGCACTCGATTTTTTGAACGATTTTTCAATAATTTACAGGCGTTTGAACATACACTGCTATTTCGTTCCTGTTTGATCGAACGCTATCCGAACCGTGGATTTAAAATTTCTCGAATGTTTGATATCGAAGTAGTCAAGTATCCAATTATGTAAGATCGAGCAAACACGTCTAATTGAATATATGGC